TTATCTTTAAAGGTTTGTAACAAGAAAAATATCCAACTACGGAGTGGCGTTGTGCGTTTTGTACACAGTGTTTAATAGCAATATATTAAAGACACGAGTTTTCAAATTCAGAGTATGCCTGGGTTGCGAAACTTGCCTTTGAATTTATACATTTCCTATGTAAGTAATATCCATCTTCCGGACAGAACCGGAAAGAATCGGTTTTTAATAAGCTTAGATCTATATAAATATTTTATCACTGAATGACGTTAATTGTTATCTAATCTAAAATTTAAAGCAATTATCTCCTATGGCTACTTACTTAGCGTTAAGTAATCAGTTTTATGGATCGGACGGAAGATAAACGATTGTTTACTATTCTAGGGTTCATCATAATTTATCAATAGTACATACTTCACAGTTGGTCTTGTGTGGTTAGCAATTTCATTACACAACATTTCGTGAATCATATTTATTTTAATAATTTAACTATCCTTGAAAGCTTTATAACATTATCGTCAGGATTAACTTTTCTTGCCACTTTCAATACTAAAAAGTGGTTTTAAAGTTGGTGTCAAGCAACAACATATTTTAGAATGAAGCTAAGTAAGGATTATCTACAATTGAATGATTATGATGTTAATATGCAAGCATATCTGTGCATTACCCAATCAGAACAAGAGGTAAAGTTCTTGTCTACTCTAAAGGCAAGTAAGTGGCGCAATTTTTCGGTGTGACATCGTTGCCTAGTTCTGAGTGGCACCTGATTATGTAATGCGAGAACAACGACGGTTGAATCGGGGTCGCGGTCTGCGAGCGAGCGCTCGGAAGTGCGTTGAGACTCAATGAATGCTTCAGATGGTGCAACACTCGATCATTTATCGTGATTACTAACTTTAGATACCATAAACAAGCCGGCATATAAAAAATTACGTAACTTAGATAAATAACACTTATCAATTACCTAGAATATTTTTAAATTCATATTTGTATCAACAGGTACAATAAAGCTTGAATTATATAATGGAAGATTATTTTTTGGCGACAGAAAAGTTAAGTTTTCGAAATCATATTTTGTACATATGTTGGGTTGTTTTTATTTTTATTATAGATAGCAGCTGCACGTAAAAAATCTATTCCGTAAATTAAAACTCAATGTGGGTGGATGGGGAGTTAAGGCACCCAATTTAATTGCACTATTCAACACGTAAAATACTTCCAATTATACGTATTAATATTGCTACACTAAGTTATGCGTCTCAATAAATTATGACCCACAATAAACTACAGAAAATCTGTATCTAACCCCATATTTGATAAATCTCGAAGCCTAACATATTACACAGGTGTGTGACAAACAATAGGTGATTATATAAGTCCAAATGTTCTAATACATTTGGAATTCTTGAACATTATTGTGAAATGGAGGTAATATAATAATATGAACCAGGTCAATTCACAGGAAGTGCCACAATTTCTCTACGACCACAATTAAATGGAGTCCAGTATCCATTACACACTTCCGAGTTCATATGCGAAAGTTTTCCTCAAAACTTTATAGATTGTTTACTCCCACCAATTTTATGAGACAACACTAACTGACCTTATTTATTGGGACTACGAGCACATAATACCTATGCTGAATATGTTGTCTGGGACTATGGAGATAGTAAGGAAATTGTTACTGGAATTCTTAATTACAAGAATAATAAGTACGAGAATTGTAAAGTAATAAGTACTTGAAAATGCATAACAAGCGCATTCTCTGCCAACTCTTTAGGAGAAATAGCGGTGCTATTAAAAGTTCATGTCAAATCATTAAGTATACGGCAATAAACGGGAACTAATTGAATATTCTGTTCCGATTCCGAAATATAACAACACAAAGGAGTTCTAAATATTTGGAGGCCAATCTAGCAGTATTAACTTCCTATAGGTAAATACTTTGGCTTACCATGCAATACGTAACTAATGTAACGTGTTTTTAATACATCGAACATTATCTACTAATGTTACCAATAGCTACTAGGCAATAGGCATAGGTATTAGGTAGGTACAGCACTTTATCAGCTAAGCCGATTTTCGCTAGACAATGAGTGAAGACATTAATAGAGCTAAACCGAAACTGGAAAAAATAAATATATTTTTTACAGATAAGTGACCTATTTGTGTCCAGGTAAGCAAATTCAGTGTTAATACGTGCTCACTAGAGGGCAAAAGCTAGCTGGAGGTTAGTATCGGCTATGTAACTGTATCAATTTATACGACGACATTTCCGCACACCCGTTCCTTTTCCGTGGTGCGACCATCATCGGAAGTTGGGACAGAGATTCGCGCGTCCCCCTCACCTCTCTACCCTCGTACGCCCCTACACGTCCGGTGCCCGTAGGCCGCCGCTGTCCAATTTCCTCTTCCCGCGTGTATTAATTTCCGGCTTAAACTATTTCATGTCGTTCATTTCCTATTAACATTCGTAATGATTTTTGTAATTCTACCTTAAATGTTACTTTGTTCGTAATGAAAATGTGTGACAGTGAGCACTAGTAATATAACGCATATAGAGCAGGTTCTTCTTGTTTGGAAAAATATTTTTTGTAGTAATGGCCACCATTCCATTTTCGTTAACCGTTTAAGGAAGCAAACAATCTTCATTAGCATCTTAATTTGCAGTATTAGAATAATTTGACATTACGACGATGATAAACTAACGGTACGAAATTTTTTTGTAATACTACTAAAAGAAACATTGCATTTCAAATTGTGGAGAAAAGAAACAATTCAAGCTGTCTTCCCAATAGAGAAACAGAGAAACATTGAAATGAAAATCATTAAAAACTTCCCCGGCACCTCTGGGCTCTGCAATGAACTTATTTCGGGTAGGTACTTCCGCATGTGTTCGAATTAGAGTCCAGCAGACGTTCATCGCATTCCGACTGGGACAGTCAACATATCTGTTTACAGGTTTAACTAGGTAGGAGTATGATTATGTTCTGATTTTTATTGAATAGCAATCACCTACCCTAACTTCAATATACCTTGTATTGTACTTACAGTACCTACCTATTCAAGGTCGTCGAGAGATATACAAAGTGCATAAAAATACTGCATCGTTGGTCTCAGAATTTTGACATCAATATTTACTACTAATTTTATAAGTTAGTCGTATTCCTATCAGATTTCGCTAGATAAAAGTAAAGATGTCAAATCAAATCCGTGTTTATAGTGACAAAATCGATCAAAAAATCTCTTGTTCTTCCAACAATATGCCTTTATGGGTGAGAAAATAAATATCAAATCCACTGAACCTTGACTATTTTCATTACTGGAAGTCATCGGGGGAGGCCTATGTTCATCAACAGTGGACGTCTTATGGCTGAAATGGTCATAATGATTCTTCTTAAGATGACAACTTAGAAAAGTAACTGTCGTTAACATCCTAACCTAAAAAAACAATCGTTTCGAATTCTGTCGTTGTTTTTCTATCCCTGGAAGTTTAAAAAATCGAATTCCCCTGTCATACAAACAACTGAGGTGCAAAAAATAAACGAGTTATCGTAACAAACATAATAAGTATTAGTTGCTACAATGTAGAAGATAAGAAAAACGTTATCACGTAATACCAAACTTGTAACATTAGAATGTTAACAAAGAAAGTAGCAGCAAGTTCTGCGGTCACGGTCACGTATGACCGAACATCATGGTCTTTTATTCTCTAAATTACTGCACATAACTCCACGACAAACGTCTGCATGCCGCCAGAACACCAACGTATACCGGCTCGTGAGTACGAGCGAGACGACACGAGCAGGGAGCGCGGGGCGGGCGAAGGGAGCAACAGGTAAAGATTCCGAGGCCACTTCCGTCTTGGCTGCCGAATATTTCTGTCTCGAACCGGTAGTGGGACGGCGGCCAGGGCACACACAAGATAATCTCAACCTACACGCATACGCATGGATGCAAGTACCAAACCAATCTAATGATTCAACGATAACTATTCCCTCTTATACGCCTTGAATTGAACCATTGGAATTGAAGAAACTTGCATCCATTAACTTTATGATAAAAGTATGTAGGTGCTCAATAGTAGATATCAAGTGTATGCGTATCACAGAGCTTACTAACATAATACACACATAGCAGAGTCGAATGAGCTCAGCTCAAACCGGTTAGCGCTCATATTGTCTCACTCTGCACCAGGAAACTGCCGGCCGGTTGCCGAGACGTTTCCTGTGCTTTGTCTCAGTAATGTCACGATATCTTGAACTGCACGTTGATAGATCACATTCGTGAGTTCCTTGTGTTATGTTATAAGTACCAATGGACGATGAACAGACTACATCAACCTGATATGCACTATCACATTAGTCTAACGCATATGTGCTTCAATCTTTTAAGAGATTCAAACCATTCTTCTACTTTTTTGGGATATATGTACCTTGTACCTATGCACTTATAATTTAATTACTATCTTCAAACCCATTATAATTTCAAAATCTCATACATTAACTTATATCACTATTACAATTTGCAACAACTTAAAGATCATTACTTCAAACAATACATATAGCATTCTAGTAATTAAAGTATCTAAGTTCGCCCGGAAATTAAGCGCATTAAATCCGTATCAAAAAACAAGACTTGTGGCTCTGCGATAACTGTACAAACAAGGAAATATTGTGAGTTATTAAAAACTGGCGCGCTGACGTAATTCTACCACACTAACAAGCACTTCCGCGTGCCCTAAGCAAGCAGGCACACTCGTATAATAATCCCATTCGTACGTTCCTTCATATTATAATTAAGTAGGTAAGCACGGATTTGCTTCGACAAGTACTAATCGAAAGAGCATTGTCTGTCAACGCCAACCTACCCTGATAACGGTTTGCGGAAACAGTATTCGCACGTTTAGTTAAAAATGGGACTTGGTCTGGCTCCCGAAGTTTTATCTCAATGTGTGAGGTGGCGAGGGGCGACCGAGCGTGCGGGAGGGGAGTGGTTGGCGCGCGTCCGTCCGCCCGCGCCTCCACCGCATCATCAGTCCGCGTCGGAGAGTTGCCCGCGACGCTTGTCTGCGAGCTCGATCCCTCAGATACGCTGCTGGTTTACGGCGAGCCGTAACACGACACGTTTGGAGGGACCGCCGCTGCTTCGCGTGTGCCTGGTGCTCTGTGAACACTGGATTCTGTGCTACAAGTGTTTGTGACAATGTACATGTGCTGATTTACCAAGTTACGGTCTACATATAGGATTTTGACGACGCAACCAGTTCCGGATCAGCTCAGCCGGTAAGTAGCGGTGCTTATCGCAGACCACGCTATCGCGGACTCACGCATTTCCGACCGCGCCCGATAAGGCAACTGACTGTACCTACAGTGCCTAGAGATACGAACTCCGAATCCGGCCGCAAATTATACTTCGTAGTAATTTAAATGTTTGTTTTGCTGTTAGTTTAAAAATCTAGCATTGTTGTAAAAAAAACAAGCTAAATAAGTAAAAGTTATTCTTAGCGAATCAAAAACATCGTTAATAACATTTCAACTTGTTAAATTCATAAAAAATGAAGACAGAGCCTCGAAATTACCTTAGCTGTCCCTTGTTGTTAGAACTAAATTAAAAAAAAACAACAAAGGACAGAAAACGATTACTTCCATGTAGATGCGTTTATGGTATGTTATAAAATTATAAATATTATTCTTCCGCTTATAAATAAATTAATCCAGAACTCAAAATAATAATTAATAACAATAGTAACATTTTCGTCGGTTATAATTATGCAAATTAACCCCTACTGAGCACGAAAATTATGAATTTTATAACTAATGATTTAGATGCTTACCTAAGAATAGAATATTGTTTTCTTTTCATCCAGAATAGTCCAAATAATCGTAAACACATCGTCCAATAAGTAGTCGTCGTCGTCGTTTTATGAAAACACCTAGTTATCAAAATGTGATAACCTGCACTCAAACATAGAATCTACCGAATTTTTGACAAGACAATTAAAAAAATGGAACTCTTGTAGTCTATAATTTTAACTACAAATATAAAACCAAACAAGAATTGTTTTAGCTCTATGATATAAGAATCGAAACTGCTTCATTTGTATCTCAAAACATTAAAAAATAAGACTGGTGACAATTTATATAACCCAAATAAGTTGCATTATGCATCAAAGCAAAATAATCACGCTTGCTTAAACTGTTACATTATATAATATCAGTATCGCAATTTTACTAAAAAGTTTTCAATAAAATGTAATAAAAACTATAAATATATATTGATTTCAATAACTTTACGTTTTCCTTATATAACACCATATATAATTCAAATCTTTCACGTGTCAATACGCTGAGAACCTTGATCTAAAATACTTTAGGCGTTGTTAAAAAAAATCGCTTTCTTCAGTATCAAAATGACAGTAGTATCATTTACGCGGTATCTAACAATGACAGATAAGAAGATGCCATCAGTAGAGATAAGAACATAAAGTAAAATAACACCTTACACTTTGGCGCCACCTGTTATCAAATGGCTGAACTGTATTAACGGTACCCAAATGCAATACCGATTTGAATTTAAACAAATAGGGATTCTATTTCACTGCGTAACGCACGCAAGTTTGAATTATGTTCCAGTTTACTTTGTTTGTTATAGCAAGCATTTCAATGTTGTTACAGACACAGTCGTGATGAAAGTTGTCAGTCTCCAACTGCCGTCGGGGCCGAGCATGGAGCGGCTACCGCTACCATTCAGCCCAACGGAGTTACTATGGCGATACCCTCTACCATGGGCCCCTCCACCACCCTCACCGCTCGGTGATGCCAAGGCCCAACTGCCAGCTGGTCTTCCTCCAGAACCAAGATTATGGACTAGGGAAGACGTTGCTGTTTTCCTGAAATGGTGCGAAAGGGAATTCGATTTGCCGAATTTCGATATGGATCTCTTCCAAATGAATGGTATATATCTTTTCATAAAAAAAATAGTTTACTCAATAGATACCTATTAGATAAATTTAACTAAAAATCCATATTATCAATTTTTTCAGGTAAGGCTTTGTGCCTTTTGACGAAAACTGACTTGGGTGAACGTTGTCCTGGTGCTGGTGATGTATTACATAATGTCCTGCAAATGCTAGTACGAGATGCAGCATTGCTTGGCAGAGTACCATCGTCTCCAGTGACACCTACAGCTCGTGCAGCGCCTTATCCACCATCCCCACATTCTCACCCCCCTACTCCAACATGGGCTGTCGACAGCTTTCACCATTTCCATAGCGCTGCGGCAGCGGCTGCCCAGCCGAATTCTGTGACTTTAAGTCCAGCCCCATCAGTAGACAGTTCAGGAAGCCCACAAAGAGGAGAAGCTGTTAATTATGCCCCGAACTATGCACCTTCTATGCCTGCTACAACGCAGGCGGCAAGTTCAGGAAGCAATCATTCTGATTCGGATGAAGAAGCTCAATTCGCGCCACCACCACGATCCCCTAAGGATGCGCCATTATCCAGCCCGGCACCACAGCCTCACCCAGCGCCACAGCACTCACATTACAGAGCTCAACATAGGGAATTCTTCCCGAACGACATGCCAGAGTCCAATACAAGTAAGAATCTATTATATATTTTCGATTAAATTAATTAGACTAACAGCAAACATGATATTCGCAGATTGAGTCATTTAATCGTGTTACTTATTTAATTTATTTTTATTATTTTCAGATGGAAGATTACTTTGGGACTTCCTACAACAGCTATTAAATGATCCCTCTCAGCGGTACACCAATTACATTGCATGGAAAAATAGAGAAACTGGAGTATTTAAAATTGTAGATCCTGCTGGATTAGCAAAGCTGTGGGGAATCCAGAAGAATCACCTTTCCATGAATTATGACAAAATGTCACGTGCTTTGAGATACTACTACCGCGTTAATATTCTTCGAAAAGTGCAAGGCGAAAGACATTGCTACCAGTAAGTAAAAATAACATTTGATACACATTTTCTGAAACTTTTTATATAAAGTATGAAAACTAACAAAATTCTTTCCTGATTGCAGGTTTTTAAGAAATCCAACTGAACTGAAGAACATCAAAAATATTTCATTGCTGCGACAACAAATGAGTCCCACGAGGGTGGTACCTCAAGCTGTCGTGAAGACGGAAATGAAGGAAGAACGGTGCGACGAAGAACCTGTAGATGAAGACATGCCTACTGACCTGAGTATGGCAGCATCAGAGCCGTGGCGGAAACGTGCGCGACCGGATCCCAATCCGGTTCAGCCGCCTCATGATAAACACCACATTAGTGCTCTTATTGGTGAAAACATGATGATGAAACGGGAATCAGAATACGCCACTGAACATTACGCGCTTAATCTTAAAAGTGAAAAATGTGAACAATGATTATAAAAGACTTGAATCGTGGGACACTTATCAGTGCAAAACGCATTTTTTGCATATTCAGTATGCAACCAGCTCCACCCACTAAAATTCTAGTCAAATTCCTCTCAGAAAGGATATTTAAGTCTTCCTCTAAAAATATTAACGTACTTGATGAACAATTGCTGAGAGTACTTTGACAGATTTAGGATGGTCATTGGAGTTTAACAGGGTATGGACCTTAATGATGCCTTTGTGCCAAGTGATTTTTATACCTAATAGTGTCAATTATCTATCTAAATAGTTAGCAAAAGGGACGAGAGTTTATTTGTGTTAAAGTCATAAAAATATTACCTATAAGATTTGTGCAATGGACTATTACTTAACTGTTGACTGAGATTTAGCAGTTATTTAAAATTGCCACAACTCTGTATCTATCCATATGTTACGTGCGGACTGCGCACTCGATTAATGCATTTGCGTAATTTAATTAGTTTTATGAGTGTTTAATATTTTTGTTTAGATTTGCTAAAAAGAGAGGATATATTCCAAAAGAACTCAAAGGATTGAAAATTTAAGAATATTATAGTAATTTAACGTCTTCCATTCGTTCTTTTTGGCAAACCTTCAATTGTAGCATGTGAAACGTAATTACTATAACATCTACCACATAAATGCAAAATAATGTATTTGGCAGCTTTCGAATTGAAGTAATGTTTGGTTTGTAAAGAAATATATAAAAATTATTATTATAAAAAGACAATAAAATGTCAAATATTTTAAAATGAAAATGCCTTGAAATCAATAAAACACACCCACTGTGATAAAAAATAAAGTGGTAGACATACTACGATAGGGATTTTACTCAAAGATTTCCAGCTACAATTTTCTGTGATCTCTTTTATCAATGTAGGTAGGTAGTTAGATGTTATAGAGTAAAAATGTCTTTGTAAATATTAATTTAGTTATGATTTAAGGAACTGACTGTAAAGAGAGTGTATGTATGATTTGTAAAACAAAAAGTGGAGCTTTATCAAAGTACCTAGTATATCCGTAAGTTCTATAACAATTGAGTTTGTATTTTTACATTTATTTGTATTTGGCAGGATGCCAAAATTTCCAACTTGATGTACACAATACATAAACATAAAGTTTCACATTAAAATATTGTGTCAGATTTATTATAACTTAAAATAAATGAGAAAATAATTATGTGTACAAGGTCATTTTATTATTACTGTAAGTACATACCTGCCTAAGTCTAAAATATTCAAATAAATTAAAACTTTATTAGGACGATAAACGATGACGAAGTAGGTACCTATGCGTAGAATAATAGAATAACCTAATATTTGCAAATTAGTAAAAGTTGGATCTTTCGTAATCATTCTTTTTCTAAGATGTTCATTGGTTATTTAAGTCGCGCAGTCGCAACTGCAAAGCAGATTGCGGGTTCGATTCCCGGGAATATTTTTCAAACTTTTTTTGAAATTATTAGGCAATCTCAACTAGGAGCACTAACTGACTATAGTAGACGCAGTTTATACGTAATGGGTATATTTAGCTGCACGATATGATTTTCAATTGTTTTTGTTTGAAGTTTTCAATTGCTGAGAAAGTCAAACCGTGATGAAACTTTAGTAAGATTCGGCACTTCATCGCGAACTATCTAATGCACTTGCATATTGAGAAAAGGATAATGCCCATTTTTAATGCTTATTATTCATACAGGTTCCGTGCCAAATATGTGTAACATCTTGTAGCTAGATAATTTAGATATACTACTATAGGTACCAATTATAGTCAGCCACAAGACCTCTACTTTTGAATTGAACATAAGCCTCCCCCAATGACTTATGATCGGCTAGCTAGTTGATATGTATATGGGCAAATAAATACGGGATCATGAAAATCAACAGTTAACTCGTCGAGTTAACTGTTGATTGAACACAATTAAAGAACAATAGGTTGCGGTCACCAGTGACCGGTTGGTGTTTGACAGTTTAAATGCCATTCGAATTTTGAACAACTTTTCTAAATTAACTGTTTCGTTTAGTGTAAATAGTGCATCCCATGTAGGTAATAAAACACGGTCATGCAAGACATAACCCTTCAAGTTCGATTTTTTGGGATTAATAATTGCACGGAATTACGGACCATTATTATTGGCCTAAGTAAAATTACGTCGACTTCATACGACCAAAATTCTTTTGTGTATTTAGTTTTGTGTCGGTTTTCGGTGGGGAACATTTTAGGCTATTCTTTTCGTTGTTATTTTACTTAAATACTTCATGACGAAAGATATAGTGCACGTGAAATCATCGCAAACCTCAGAATTTTTTGTGAACATACTCATAACAGCAAACAAGAAACTGGACCAAAACTAAAACAACTGATTAAATCATAGATAGACAGACTAAATATAAAAGTGCTCTTAGCCAAGACATAATAATTGGCTAGTTTCCTAGATTTAAAATAAATTATTTCAACTTTTCAATTCAATAAATAATTAAAAAATAATCATACTCTCAATAATTGTTGACAATTTACCTACTTTTGGATGTTTTCGCTAATTTTAAGGAAATAAATATCGCACCTACGGTGCAATATCGTCACTTATGCAAGTTTTGTCAAAACTTAACTGATTATGAAAGAATACTCCAAATTCACCTCTTTACTTGGTGCGTTATTGTCATTTGTGTAGTAGTAAGCAAACTGACATTGTGAGGGCATTACTGTCGTAACGGTTTTGGCGCTAATCTGGACAGCACTAGGAAAAACCATGTTCAGTTGCGCGCGGGCCCCCGCAATACATAAGTGACGGTATAGCACCGGAGGTACGTTATGCTATTTGACGCAGAAATATGATGACGTCATAAGTTGCGATCCAATACAAAATTCATAGAAAAGTATCGTTTTTTGACATTTCAATAAGAGTATTAAATTTGACTACCTGTCAACTACCGTATTATGGAAAACTTGCTCAAAAGTGGTTAAAATAAATAATGATGTGGTAAAAAAAACATGTATATTTTCAAACCTAATTTAATTAGGAAACTACAATTAACAATATTATCCTTAGAAACTATGAAAACTTAAACATTTATGAGTTAACCATTTTTAGTTAATAGTTGCACGTTATTACTGTTCTGGCACATTTTGGAAAAATATAACATCATCTGCAATGATTGTTGAGGCAGATCTGACTTGACCATCATCCATTTTGACTTCTCCATATGATAATTTACCAGTTATGTAAACTCGTTGGCCTTTCTTTAAGTATTTATACACTGTGTCTCTTAAGCCAGGTTTAAAAATACTTATTCTATGCCAGTCAGTTCTTTGCAACATGTCGCCGGATTCATACTTGTAACTGTAATGAGTGGCTAATGGAAAGTTTATCACTGGATGTTCCTCTGAACCACGTTTCTGTGGATCAGCCCCAACTCTCCCCAGTAGTGTGACTTGGTTGATTGCTGAAAATTATTAAAAATATAGTTAGTGATATCAATTGTATTTAATTAAGCCATTTAATACACTTTATGAGTGTTTACTCACTTTTCTCAGATTTTTGTGAATTATATCTTAATAAAGTTTGTTGAATGACAGTTGTTTGTTGCAATATTTGAGGTACCTGCAAATAAAACTTGAATGTATTATATTTTCAGGACTAAGTAAAATGACAAAGGCACTGCTGCATCCTCAAAGAATTCCATTGTCTAAATGTTTAAAAACTATACTTGATAGGGATGATGACAGGGTAAGAAAATAAAAATGTAATTAGTCCGTCAGTTAGGTAATGAAAAAATATTAAACACATATTTTTTATTTTGTCATGTAAGTAAATCATATTTTGATAAAACGAATCAAAGTTTAGGAGTGGGAGATACATCATTTTAGAGTATAAATCGTACTCAAAAGTGACTTCATGCAATATTTCAAATCAATATATCTTCGAAACTAATTGTTTCCGTAAGAAAATAAAAATATGTGTCTAATGTTTTTAAATAATCTACCAGACGGACATTAAAATAAAAATTAGTCATCTACCCTCTTAAAGTAATATACCTACTGAAAATATATTTGTAGGTACAAAATTACAATATAAGTCTGTAAATAATAACAAACTTACCCAACTTACATGCCTATTTATGTATCTAGCTAACTAACTTGATCATAACAACATATAATGATCAGTTAGTATCCTTAGAAGTATATATAGGTTGTATAGGAAAAACAGTTGCTGATGTTAAAAAACTATTATATGTGACCGTTTAAATAAATGTCAGTGAATTGTAAAATATTCCCATTATATTTTGAATCAGGACAAGATTATTTAGTAATTAAAAATTTTGTGGAAATGTTTTTTTAATTCAAACAATTTGTTTGTTTAACTGTAATTTCCTGCCTGAGGCACCGGTATGGAATGAATAACGACTAACAATAAAACATTACTCACCCTACGTCCTAAAAACATGATGAACGTGTTTAATTAGAAGTTAGTTATGTAAGAATGCTCATTAACTATCAGAATGGTTTTTAATCCTGGTTAATAAATTGATATTGTACGGAATTTAGAAACTTTACAAGAATAACCTAACCTCAAAACCCCAAAACACAATACCTACAAAAAACGATTATGTCAAACAAATGTCAATCGTTGAGTTTTGAATACTTGGCCTTTGAACACAATGCGAAAACCATGCGAAAACTCACGTCCATTTTAAGTTTGCAAAACAGTTTGCTAAAACTTAACAAACAAGTTTATTTCTATAATAAATAATGATCGGAAATGTTCTAAATAATTCAAAAAATGTTTCATAAGACGAATTAAATTATTTGCTAAGAAATTCTTGGCGCCTGCCAAACTCTATTTTACGTCTGTGCTGCCAAATTGAAATTCTTGGTAGGCACTTTCCAATAATATTTTATTTTACATGATGTTTACATGTTACTAAAAAAAACATAATGATAAGCATGTATGTGAGCCTGCAATGGGTTCCCATCGTGGAAATTAGAAATAAAACTAGATAGTAAAAAGGGTAAACCCAGGTAAACCTAATTTTATAGACGGAGACAACGGTTTTTTCTATCTACGTTAAGTGTTACCAGGTGAAAATATACTATCCAGCCCTACCAACCTCAAGACATAAATTCGTTTACGAGTTGCGTCGTTCATGGTTCTCCGGAATGACAGTTGTTTTGTGGTTATAAAGATAGATAGAAAATTCTATCTCTATCTCTTCAACCACCACCATTCGCAAACCGGGAAGAGTTGTTGCCAGTGAAGGATGCCTTCAGCCGCGAATGCAAAGTCCGAAAAACCAGCCTCTTCGGAGGCTATGGATAACTCACCGATAAGACAAATTATGACGATTATTGAACACAAAATCCGTAATTTGGAGAAAAGAAAGGTACGTACTTCATGTATTAGTCAACATTTATATACTGATAATTGTTTTAAGATTAGCAAAATTTCGCGAAGGTATTGTT